TGTTTCTATCTATAGTTTTATGTATTGCAAAGGCTCTGCAAGAAGCCTCGTTCACTGGGTACGCTGTAGCCCCATTTTAGGTATTCCAATCAATCATAGGCAGAAGACGGACTTACAAGCCTTCTAGTGTGGTGTTTCTGACTATTCCTTTCTCTCCCTCTCCAGTGTCTACTCTGTGTTGCCTGGTCAGGGAAGCGCCGGAAGTCCTCAAATATTTGGCTTTTGAACAACTCTGTGTTAGAAAAATTTTTATAATACATTGAAATCTGCTTCTTGGTAATTCCTACCTGTTGATGTTATTTCATCCCTCAAAGACAAACAGAAACCTTCTTCCAAGCAAGAGTTATTCACATATTTTTCCAGTGGCATACATAGCCTTATTTCAAAATTTAAAAATATTAAATCAGTAATCTTAATTAGGCAAAACTTGCAAGAATAGTATGGTGGTGGTGGTTATGTGCCGTGGAGTTGATTCCAACTCATAGCAACCCTATATAGGGTTTCCGAGGCTGTAAATCTTTACAGGAGCAGAAAGCCTCATCTTTCTGCCATGGAACCACTAGTAGTTTCAAACTTCTGACCTTGAGGTTAGCAGCCTGACTTGTAACCACTGTGTTACCAGAGTGTCTTGCAAGAATAATATAGATAACATTTTTTTTAAGTATTTGAGATGAGTTGTCAAACTAATGTTGCCTGACAACTTTAGTGTGTGCACCTCACTCCTCCTTATTGGCATGATAAGGTTTCAAAAGAGCAGGTCTTTAGGTGACAATGGTTGTTAGGTGAAATTGGAAGATGACCACACCAGTTCACAAAATGAAGAAGTGTGCCTGCATCATAATTTAACTGCCAAACCATCTAGAAGTGTGGCCTAGCCACATTGGCACATAACTTTAACCATCACACCCAGTACTGCTCTCACCTTATACCTCAGCATCTGGAACTGCCAGATGTAGATCATTAAGGAGGAAAATAGTCAGATACTAGATTGTTTCACTGTTGTTCTAAATGTGAAATGTCAGATAAAGAGATAGTATATAAGAGAAGAATATAGGTATGTTTCCTACAAACAAGACCTGTCTTGTATATAACCACAATGTTGTGTGCTGTTGTGTTGAGTCTGACTCATAGTGATCCAATAGGACAGAACAGAAATTCCCAATTGAGTTTCCTAAGTTTTAATCATTATGGAGTCCTTTTATGGCGCTGTAGGATCAGCATTGAATTGCTAACTACAAGATTGGTGGTTCAAACCCACCAGCTGCTCCTCGGAAACCTTATACAGGGTAGTTATGAGTCAGAACCGACTCTACAGCACTTAACAACAACAGTCTTTATGGGAGCAGATTGCCAGGTCTTTGATCCCGTGGTGCCACTGGGTGGATTCAACGGATCCATCTTTTGTTACCAGATAAATGTTTAACCATTTTTCCACCATACAATTAATCATTGTTCCACAATACAGTCATTGAAATACTGAAATTATATTGCTACATTATTGTTGTTGCATGCCATCGAGTTGGTTCCTACTCATAGCAACCCTGTTTGAGGGTTTCCAAGAAACCAGCGGCTGGTGAGCCTAAACTGCCAACCTTGTGGTTCAACTGACTTTGCAGTCTAGCGCATTAACCTACAGTGCCACACCAGGACCCTATTGCTACACTGTTGTTGTTAAGTGCCATCGAGTCAGTTCCAACTCAGTGACCCTGTATAGGGTTTCCGAGGAAATTAGATTGCTATCTAATTGTCATACACCATTCAAGTTTTACCAGTTGTTCCAATAATGCCCTTTATAGCAAAAGGATCTAGGTCAAAATCACACATAATATTTCATTTTGTCATCTCTTTAGTTTCCTTTTTTCTAAAACAGCTCTTTAGTTGTTTTGTGTGTGTGTATTTATGATGTTAGCACTTTTGAAGATTACAGGTCAGCAGTCCATTTATTTTTTTTAAGAAAAACTTTTTATTGTAATTTCAATGAAAGTTTACAGAGAAATTGGTTTTCCATTCAATTCATACACATTTTGTTTTGTGACATTGATTGCAATCCTCACAATATCTTGGCACTCTTCCTTCCCATTTACTCTGTGTTTGCCATTTCCATTGGGCCTTTCCTATCCCTTCCTGCTATCTGAGATTTAATCCTGGGCAAGAGCTGGCCTTTTGATCTCATGTGGTTGATTGTCCTAAGGAATACCTACCTCCCTGACTTTACTGTTCACAGTATAGACCTGACTATCGTTTTACTGGATGTTGAGCCACAGGGGAAAGTTCAGTTCCAAGCTTGTAGGATGACTAAGGTCCATAGATAGTCTTGGGGGGTTCCACCAAACTCTATCAGACTAATACATCTGTTGGTTGGGTTTTTGGTTGTGTGTGTTTAAAGGTTTTTATTATGGATTGATAGAAAGTTTACAGGGCATATCATCAGTTTACATTCAATAAACCATATACCTTGTTTCATTACAATGATTATAATCCCCTCCATGTACCATCAGTTAACAGTATTTCTCTCTATCCACTTTAGCTTTAAAAAAAAACCAAAAAACTCAGGCATGTATAATAATTTACATCTCCAAAGGGCACATTCTGCAAGTCTGCCTCCTGGCCACCAGCTCTTAGTCCCTCTCTTTTTAGTCCATGAA